GTCACCGGGAACACTTCCCATAACACACTTCAGCGGAGACCATGTCAACTAGATGTGCCCCAGAGACAGATCCCCTGCCAAAACCTTGTCACCTAGACGGCCATTGGCACAAGGCTACGGGAACCAGTCGAGTCCTCTGCACAATTCTGACTTGTGTTGCAGCCTGGAATTAAACCATGCAATGCTGGTTTCGTCTGGCCAGAGGAGAACTGTCCCCCCGACTGAGCCTGGCTTCTCCCAAGGGTTTTTTCTCCATTTCTGTCACCGATGGTAGTTTCGGTTCCTTGTCACTGTCGCCTTTGGCTTGCTTAGTCGAGGACGCTTAATTTCTGGCAATATTGTCGACTTGATTGCACAGACAGAGTGTTTACTATTGTCCTCTTGCATTATCGACATATTTTCTTGTTTAACACTAAAGCTGCTTTGACACAATCTGTATTGTATAAAGTGCTACATAAATAAAGGTGACTTGACTTGACTATTTTTAATGAATCGGTTGTGTGAATGATTCACTACCTCTTAAGACACTTGTCGCCTCCTACTGATAACCTGCAAAAGGAGTCAATGAATGAATCAGTGAACAGATCTAAACGAATCTTTTGAAAGTGATTGAGACTCTGATTTCTAAACTATTGCTTTATTTATTATATGCTTGATCATCACAAAACATATTACATGTTATTTTTATCAGCAATGTTTTAAAATATTTAGTTCGTAATAATTAGACTTACGCATTTAGCGTCTGTTTGTGAGAGATACCTTGTGTGTGCGTGTGCGTGTGCGTGTGCGTGTGTGTGTGTGTGTGAGGGGGGGTTGTGTCAGCTGTCACACTGTTCTCTTGGTGCACGCGCGCTGCGTCCGACTCTCACTGGAAGTTTGAGCGTCTCGAGCGCTCCACGGAATTAACGGCAGCAGCACCAGCGCGTTAAACTGCGCGGGGCCGCGAGCGGATTGTCCACCATCTCACCGGGAACATGAACATGGCACTGAACAGGTCACCCTCTGCCACGGGTGAGTACCAGCCCTGACATTCCGGTTCATGTTGTTTGTTGATGATTTTGTTTGTGCGCGCGTGCATTGGTTTCACTGAGCCAGAGGGAAAATGCATTTGGTGTTTGTTTGTGCAATTGGCACTTCAATAAATTGGCTTGTTTGACCATCGTTTTATATTCAACTGTTGCAAATGCATGCATGTAATTTCATGTACTCATGCATTTATAGTCAATTAGTCTGATGTGGTGAAAACTGAACATTTGAGTGGCACCAAACTGGTCGTTCATGTTAATTGCAGTGAGGCACGCGCCATTATTTGCCCCTTCAGACAGGCTGTCACACTTTAACACTTGTAAACGTTGTAACTAATTGTGTTAGAATTCATCCTTTTGCTTTGGAAAACAATAAGAGGGCTCAGTGTGTCGGAGGGGGTTTGTATAATTAGCTGGGGCAATAAGCTGGAGCTATTTCAAGCGCCATCTTACGCCATGTGTTGTTTTATCATAACAATCAAACACTTTATGATCTTTTTTCTTTTTTTTACATTGACGACAGAATGGACACTGTGATTTGATATGAAAACACGGGGAAATAAATGCACAAATAGACTATGGTGTGATGCATGGTTTGGTCAGGTGTAAATGCGCTTAGCTTTCTCCAAGAGTCATGAATCCCTGTTTGTTTACCTGAAGTCATGAGGCATATTTAAGTGACGCTTTAGTCAGGTGTGAGAATATTTAAAAAGACTAGAGGTGTACGTGTCGCTGTTTCTGTGATCAGAGTCAGTTTTTCAGGTTTTGAGCATTGACGCACAGCCTTCAATTGTGTCGCTGTCCTTAGTGCTGAAAGCTTTTAGTCTCTACTTTTAAATGGACGCTCTCTCTCTCTTTCTCTCTCTCTCTCAATTCCACTTCAATTTCAGCAATTTATTGGCATGATTGTTTTGCATGCATATTGTCAAAGCACACACAAAGAAACTGACATAAGAGAAAAATGCCATAAAAGAAGACTTTCAGCAATATATTATTAGACATCAAAATTAACTTGTGAATGTCTCTCTCTAACAGAAAATTGGAACGGGGCTCCCGAGCGCATGCGTGTTTCCACTGTGAAGAGTGAGTCCTCTTCAATGCAGAGCGAGAAACTCCGCTGTCTTGCCCGCGATATCTCTGAACTGGGCCAGCAAGGCACTGCCAGCAGTGGGCACGATGCCAATGACATTGCTGAGGACATGGTGCGTTGTCTAATGCAGGATTTAAGATGAAATGTTGTTTATTATCAAAGAGGTATTATTTTTATAGCATGCTATATTAAATTATTAACTAACATTATTACATTAAATAATGGTTCTGGTTAGATCATACTAAAATATTCACATTGCATATGTTATGTACATCTTCTCAATGGACCCCCTGCAGTACCTTCACGGACCCCCAGGGGTCAAGTAAGGTGACATAAGAAAATGCAATTATTTTGCAGTTGTAAGCTGGTTGCACAAAGATTGTGGGTTGAAGCCAACAGCAAAAGATCTCTAGGTATTGCCATTGACCATTGAAAAATCTATATCACTCCTGGACAGTTACTGTTTCAGATTCCATTCACAAGTGAAGGAAGCATTTTACCAGATCCCAACATGCTTCAGTGGAACTTGCAGTGTGTTTTCAATGTATCACATTGGAAAGCATCTACTAAATGACATCAGTTTAATATTCACACCAGACTTTCTCATTTCCTAGCCTGTAGAGATCCAGGGCATTTTCTTTTAACAACATTCATATTCCAATCTACTTGATTATTGTAAAGTTCTTTATCATATAGTAAAGCTCCCACAGACACTAGTAAATAAAAAAAGTTTTTTCAAAACTCAAAGGTAAGAAAAAAATTATAATTTTTTAAAGACTTTGTTATGTACATTTGTATTTTTATTATAAAAAATATAATTGAAAAAAATCTTTCTCTTATAAAATAAATATTTATGCACATATGCAGTAAACTGTCATTTCTTTTTGCTTTTCGGTAACTATAATTATTTATTTATTTATTATTTATTTATTTGCTTTCTGCTTATGGGAATTGGGGTGCATGTCAGTAATCTCAATGCAAAAAAAATAAATAAATCACAAAATATATTTTTGCAAAATATAAGTTCTCATTTTTTTCTTTTCTTTTTTGGGGTAAAATATATATAAATATATTTATCTTACATATTCTGAACATAATATTTTTGGGGATCTTTTTGTAGTGTGAAGAGAACATTATAAAAACCACAATGGCAATTTCAGATGACGGTCTTATCCACTAGTTTGCAAACCACAGAGAACCTCCTAGTTATGCACCTTGCTCAAAAGCAGAATTCTAATCAAACATGAGTATGACAGGAAACATCCAACTGCTTTGAACCACCAGCCAATCAGTGGATGACCCAGATCCTCAATTTCTTGCTGAAACTGCCAACTACATGCTATGCAGCTTTGAGAGAGCTCCAGGATCTAAAATTACAGTTTTCACTGTACAGCTATGCAGATGTGTCTAGATGTTACTGAGCTGAAGAAAGCTTGTGTGTGTTTTCAGGAGGAGCCAGGCCCTGGTCCAGGAGGAGGGCTGTGTTTTGCAGACGGCCGCAGAAGAGTGGACTACGTTCTTGTTTATCACTGCAAGAGACGTCAGTCCCAACACCGCCACTCTGTTGTCTCTAACGGTAACGTGCCGTCTCAAACCCCCACCCCATCACGCAGGAGTACGAAGGGCGATATTTCGGAGGCGGTGCTGGAGGCGGGGCTTGGGATGGAACCCGCCAACGAACTACAAGATAAAATCAGGGAGGAATTTGAAAGAAGACTTCAGGAGGAAGGCTTGGAGATTGAACATGACAAAGAGGTTTGTATTTGTGTGTGCATGGTTATGTTCAGAATGCTAGAACACTAGCCCACTGCACACTATGCAGTACACACTAAATACTGCCTACTATTTTTAGTTCTTAAATAATAAATAATATGTAAGAGACAATGCACTATGCAACATTTCAAACAGTAGGATGCTAAATTGTTGTCATATAATCTCCTTATATGCATACACTACTGTTCAAAAGTTGGTAAGATTTTTAAAATCTTTTTGAAACTCTCTTATGCGCACCAAGGCAGCATTTATTTGATCAAAAATACAGTAAAATTATTATGTTAAAATGTAATTTATTCCTGTGATGCAAAGCTGTATTTTCAGCATCATTACCCCAGTCTTCAGTCTAATGATGATTTGCTGCTCAATTTTTTTTTTTTGGGGATACATTTTTATCAGGATTCTTTGATGTAGAGACAGTTCAAAAGAACAGCAATTATTTGAAATAGAAATAAATATCTTTACATAATTAAAAGTATTAATTTCTTTAAAAAAAATTACTGACCCAAAACTTTTGAAACATAATTTATCTAATTTCACAAGTGGTGTCCAATTATCATCTTTGGAAATTAAAAGGGGTTGTTTTGCATTTATTTAAAATCCATTGTGCGTAAAATGTCTTAATTCCATTAGTCTGATCCGATAACAAAAAATTGTTTAAAATAGGCCAAAAATATGCATATTGCTAAATTAGTGTGAGTAGCATAGTAGTATGCTATTCTGAACATAGCCTGTGTGTGGTTCTTGTCTGCCCATGCATGTCTCTATATAATTTTCCTGGCAAACAAATTAATGTATCATCATCTCATGTGTCGAGCCATGAATAATCAGGGATGAGCTCAGTTTTGAGTATAATACTAACAGAATGAACACAATCAAGAGATTCCCAAGGTGACCTTGGAACTTAAGAATTGGAGACCCAGTTTAGAAAAAGCCCAAACTCTCCCACACTAAGAAAAGTCTATCTCTTTTGAAGGGGGAGTTTTCATTTTCAAGCAATGCAGCATATTTTAATACTAGTTAACAGATGCCAAAAAGCATTTCTTTGCTTTCCTGCAATGCTGCAGTAGTTGCCCCCCAGCAATATATTTGCAACAGATGCAACTGTGTTTATCACAAGAGATCATCGGTTCCCCCTGCATCATGGTTTTTCCCAAGTTGAAGCAGGGAGAGCTTAGTATTTCTGAATAGGAGTAGATTGGTTGACTCGTGCAGCTTTTTTCCACAAAAAAAGCTTATACTCATGAATCCAAATAGAGTCAAAGCTATTATTATGCAGGTTTGAGTACACCTTAAAATACACTACATGCTTAATGCGTGAATTTTTATGAAGAATGTCTATTTATTTCAACCTAAAAGAAATTATATTTTGCATAAAGAATATAAAGCCCATTTTTAGGACCTTTTTATGATTTTTAGTTTCTGTTTCCATGATAATAATAATGAATAATGCAATAAAAATCATCTTCCTGAACAGCGTTTTTAATTAATCCGCATAAATTTAATTTAAAACAAATTCTACCATGTTGTATACTTGCAAATGATTTTGTAAGTGAAAAACATTGTTGTCGTTGTTTTTGATATTGCATAACTAGCTATAATAGTAAATTAATTCTGAGATGCAAAGACTTTGTTCCTATGTCCGAAGTCTGTATGGATCTGAAATTGGCCCCAGGGTTCATTTTAGCATAAAGATTGACTGATGTGAGTGAAATCCTGAGTGAAAGCTGTGACGTGGGTGTACGTTTGATTGTTGGTGGTGTGATGGTGGTAGATCAGTTGTGTTATGTTAGTGTGGATTAAATTTGAGTGCTGCTGTCTCCAGCCTAAAGGCAGATTATGGTTGATCCTCATTGCCAGAGGTGTTTGTGTTTGATGTGTTTGTGTGTGTGTGTCATTCATCCACGCTGAATAAGACCATTTTAGTAACAGCTGCTTCTTAAACTCTGTGTGAGTGTGTGCGTGTTTGCACCTCTGCTTGTGTTAATCCAGTTTGCTAAATCACCTTATCTTTTCAGTTTTCAATTGCATCCTGCAAACCAAATTGACTGCATTATTAATTGGTGCTTTACTCTTTAAACTCATTTAATTAATTGTTTTTAAGATGAGGACGGTCCGGTTTACCCATCTCCATGTTCCCTGGTCCGTTCTCAGTCGTGAGGCAGAACTTCTTAAGATCAGAGTGCCGACTAAAAAGGTGAGTTACTATAAAAGGGAAACAGACACATAAAAAGGCTGCCATTTGAGAATAAAATATAAAGATGTTTCAGAGCTTTGATGCAGTGTGTAATGCGTGATTTGTGAGGCTCATAAAGCTCTCAGGGACCTAAGTTTGAGTCTGGTCCGCATCATGTCCCGATTCCGTTTACCCTTGCCTCGCTTTAACAGCCCCATAGAAAAAAAATGTAAGGATACACAATTTACATGTATGGCAGAATCTTTAATAAGATGTTACAATGTTAAAGTTTTCTGGGAATCAAATGTACAACCTTGTGTTGCTAGTGTATTAAAACTAAAACACTTACATTAAAATCAACAAAGGTGTCTACACTGTTAGTGTCAGGCCTGTGTTTCTGTGTCCCCACATGCTCCATGTCCTGGTTTTCCCCCGTGTTCCTCTATGCCAGGGTTCCTCAATTAGTTTTCGCCGATGGCCGAATTCTGCCAACAATACCAAGTCAAGGGCCACTGACCTATATATATATATATATATAAAATTATTATATTATTATTGTTGCTTTAGTTAAAATAGTCACAAGATGGTCACAAGATAAATATTCAGATTTTCCCCCAGTAGTCTGTTTTATTCAAACAATTATGAACATTTTTGCAGGTTCTAGGTCATACCGGTTACATGGGTACCGGTGCCATATTGGTACCGGGTTTCGGTACCCAACCCTATATATTATAAGGAGTAACTATATGTTTTATGAAATGTAGTGAAGTAAAAAGTACGATCTTATGCTTTGGAATGTAGTGAAGTAAAAGTAAAAGTTACTAAAAATAAAACTACTCCAGTAAAGTACAGATAGGCTAATTGAAAAATGTACTTAAGAACAGTAACGAAGTAAAACTACTTTGTTAGAAGAACTTTGCCTGTTTAATATTAAAAACTAATGAACAAACAAAAAATCTGGATCTCCATGTCTGCCATTTAAATCAACTGTTCCTGCTCGTCCCCGGACTGGATCTCTTCTCTCCACTTTCCCTCTGTGCGGGTGGGAGGTGGGGGTCAAACTGTAACACCGTGTGTCCCAACCAGGCACGACGCAATAAAAAGTATCTTTTCCATGTAGTTTTTGTCCTAACCACCCGCGACAGCGACACGTGACAATAAGCGACACGGGATTCTATTTTAGGAACATTTTTATTTTCTGCGATGTTGCGGCAGGAACAACATACAAAATATAACAGTGATAATGATTATGTGCTTTATTCAATGTTAAAAGTGTCTAATGTGAGTTTGAATATTATTTTGCGTTATCTTTATAGCC